TTTCCAATTAATAAATCAATATATATTTGTTAAAAGAGTAGGGATTTAAGTTCTTGGGGAGGTCCTTTGGGGTCAGAGTTTAATATTGTTGATTATAAAGCTATTCGACTTGGGATTAGTGTCATATTTATGTGGATCCTTTTTTCTCCTACGTTGTAGCCTTGTAGGTTTTTTGGGAACCTAATTACTTGTTCCAACTGGATAATGGGAATTGTTCTGACGGCCGTTTGATACGCGATTTTTTTTGAGGATTTTCAAAAAATTGAATTTTTTTAAATTTTTAATTTTTGAATATTATGATAAATTGAATATTTTTATCATATTTTTGAAAATCAAAATTATCGGGTAAAAAAAAAATTCTCTACTACCAAACGTCCCGTTAGGGTATGTTTGGTATATAGTATAGGATAATACCTGATAGTATAAGACCTGATAATATAAGGTCTGATTGTATAAGACTTGATTGAATTTTAATATTATCCAACGTTTGACACGGTATTGTATAAAATAATATATTGTAAGATAATATCATCTAGTATTTGATAATGCAATGTATAATACTATATAGGATAAAATTAAATATTTTTAATAAAAATATCCTTTAATAAAAATAATATTTAATAAAGAATTTATATAATTCTTCAAAAAATATCATATGATATTAATTTTTATAAAAATTTATTGATCAGTGTGTCCAAAACATAAATTAATTTTTATAAAAATAAAAATATTCAATATTTTAAAAATTAATATATTTAAAAATTAATTTTTACTTTAATATATTAATATTAAATAATATTAATTTTTGAGAATTACACTGGCCAACGATGTTAATACACCAATCTCTTATCAGGCCTTACCCTCCTCCTTAGGCCAGATTAAGTTATACGTTGTTTTGATGTATTAAGGGATCCTGTTGTATAAGCTTATATTATATGATGGTCACGCCAAACAACTGAAAATATCATAACATATAGTATAAAGCTTATACTATCAGGCCTTATACGTCACACCTAACTGGCCCTTAGGGTATGCATTCAGAGATTATCTTAGATATAGATATCTTGATTGGCTTATGGTCAATATCTCAATCATTGCGCACAAACAATAGGCTTATAGCCAAGATGTGAATCTGTGCACAATGTTGGCAGTAATAGTAAATAGGTCAAAAGTGTGTACCTGAGATCTTTAGCCTCTTGTTTATAAGGATTATCTTCATAGGCTTGAGCCTTTGACATCTTTCAGTTGATATGAAATTTTCCTTTTTAATGGAGATAGAGATCTTATCCCTTAATCCTCTCTAGATTATATGGATATAATTCAAGTAATAGGCTTGTTAAGATATGAATCCAGTCCATAACAGAAATCATAAATCCAAAAAAAAAAAAAATGTACATGAAATTATAAAATTTGTTGGTTATATTTTGATAAAACCTTGCTGAGTTGCTTGTTAACGGAATCGAATCACTTGTTTTATTTATTTATTTATTTACTTCCATGTCCTTTTCATTGAATATAATACTTCAATAAAAAAATTATATTAAATAACAGCTATAATAAAAGGTGTTGCTGTTTAAATTTTATTTTTTTTTCTTTCTAAAGTGACATGTTATAATAAGAGAGATAGAGAAAGAAAACAAATTAAATATTATTAGGGAAAAACATTTATCCTTTTAAAGGATACAATCTTATATCATTTTAGATCCTAACCGATGATTTCCGTTCATCAACGGTTATAATCTATTGGGTCAAACTTAATGGGCCAAATTTATTATTAATTAATTAATAATTTTGATCCAATAAATTATAACCGTTGATGGACAGAAATCAACGGTTAGGATCTAAAATGATATAAGCTTATATCTTTTAAAACGACAGATGTTATCCCCATATTATTAATTTTTTCATTAATTTTTTTGTTTTGGTTACAGTTTCTGATCCTATTTATATTTACCTTTTTTTTTCCTTCTCTTGCATTTATGTTAAACATAACATTATTTTACAATAAAATACTATATATTTTCGACGTTATACAATGTGCCATTCATCGAGTTCATCTAAATGTTAATAATAAGCTAGCATATTGTTTTATTGAATTATTCTTTAATCTCAAAAAGTACAACGGAAAATAAACAAGTTACACTCTAAGAGTATTATTTCTTTCACCAAGTTGCCTTCCTCCTAGAACTACTGTGTTCCATGGATAGCACCTACTATAATAACATGGTCCCGTTTCATGAATATTCCAATAACATACATCATGACAACGATCATCTCGCTCTTGAATATAAATGTCAAAGTAGTGAACTACATTCCACCAATTAAACCTGCAAAAGTAGAGTGTATTATTTAGGAAGTAATTAGGAATGAACGAGAAACTGTATGATTCTCCAAAATTCAATGTTTGAAACCCAAGATCATGGTTCTTGTCTTTGCAATGAAGAATGAGTTGCTTCCCAGATAATTCGTTGGTTATTGTAACAGTTTTTTTCAAATGAAAAATTTTACTTTCTCCACCCATGAAGCAAGCAACAAGTATGGTGAAAGGCAAAAAGATCAGTAACACAATTTTGGAGACTGAAATAGTCATTGCACTTTCGGTAAGTACAATAACTTCAGAACAAATGTGTTTCTATAGCATGTGGTTAAAAGCCTAAAGAGTTTCGTGTTATATATAGCTGGAGATGAAGAAGTGTCAAGTTCGTCCCTTCCTTCAATTAAACATATAATTTATTGGAAACAATAAACTTTTTGAATATATATTATGGGTTTGTTTTTTCTAAGGTTATTTTAGATAACTTTATCTAATGCTCATCGAAACGACGTCGTTTTGAGGTGAAAATCATGGTGTTTTCGTAATTTTAATTTATTTCAGGGTTATAATAGTCTTTATTATTCTAATTTTTTAATTTTTCAACACCAAAATGACGTTGTTTCGATAAACATTAGACAAAGTTGTCTAAAGTAACATCAGATACTTTTTTTCCATATATTAATATACATAGAGAATCATTTATTACAATTATTTTTTATATTTAATTTTAACATTATTTTTTTCGCTAATTAATAAAAAAAATAGTTAATTTATTTTATAGTTTGTTTCTTTTATGACTTACCTTGTTTGTTTTAAATTTATTTCTCTACTTTCTTTTTATGACTTTATATTTAAAAATTTGTTTCTTTTATGACTTCATATTTATTTTAATTTTTTATAGCACAAAAACATATGACTTCATTTAATATAATTGATTTTAAATTGTTGTATTCATGTCTTAATTTGCCTTCCTAGTTTGTTTTTGACTTTTCTTACATTTAAATTTAATATAAAATTATTTTGTAACAAAAACATATCACTTCAATTAATATAAGGGTTCACTTTTTCTGTAATTACTGCAGATAAGTTATCTGTAGTGAGTTCAATATGACGTCGTTTTGGAGTGAAAATCATGATATTTTTGTAATTTTAATTTATTTCAGGTTATTATAGTCTTTATAATTATAATTTTTTAATTTTTCAATCTCAAAATGACGTCGTTTCGAAAGTAAATACAGATAACTTGCATTAACAGGAGAAATACCCTTAATATAATTGATATTAAATTGTTGTATTCATGTCTTTGCCTTTATGACTTCCTTGTTTGTTTTTTTCTTTTCTTACATTTAAATTTAATATAAAATTATTTTATGACAATATTTTCTATCAGAAACTCATGCTGAAGTTCTGGAGCTCTTCACTCATTTTGTACGGAATTCCTTAAAAATAGTCTATTCACATTATTTTATGACAATATTCACATTTATCATTATGATATGCTTACACGTGACATTGGGTGGTATTAAAATGGAGTCCAAGAAAAAAATCTCATTCAATGGGAGAAAATTTCATGTTATAGTCACATGTTAAACCCGTATCTATTATAAAAAACAAAATAATAGTGCTGCATGAAATTTGAAGGGAATCGGTAGGAGAAAATAATTATCTTACAACATCAAAAAATGTAATATATATAAATAAATAAAGAGAAAAGTGTGTGTCATTTTAAAGAATATAAAGTTGTGTCATTTTAAGAGAGAGAAAGAGATAGATAAAGGAGGTGAGAGTTGACAAAAAAATATAAATGTGTGGGTCCCACCTCTTTGTGAGAGTGAAAAGATATAAGTTATGTCATTTAAAAGGATAAACACTTATCCCATAAATAAAAGAAGGGTTCATTTTTTCTGTAGTGAAAGTAGATAAGTTATCTACATTTAACCCAAAATAATATCATTTTGAGGCAAAAATCAAGGGTTTTTTTTTTTGTTTAAAATTATTCAAATGTTGTAATAATCTTTATCATTTTAATTTTTTGATTTTTTTTTTTTGGTAAATTTTTTGATCTTTTAACCCAAGACGACATCGTTTTGCAAGTGAACGTAAATAACTTATTTATATTCACTACAGAAATATTAAAGCCATAAAAAAAAGTGTTTCTTCTGCCACGGAATATTAAAAACATTTCTTTTTACCGCACCAAACCTTAGATCAGATTATTGTACATTAGATCCGGTCATTGTTCATATAGTCCCTTTTCTTAATGTTCTAAGAATTTCTGTAAAATAATAATAATTATATACTACAAGTAATACATAGTTATAAGGAATATAAAAAAAAAACTTTAATATTATAACTATATACTATCAATACATTTTTTTGTAGAAAATTTATAAGTATGCATTACTGTAGTGCATAGTTATTTTTTTCTTACATGAATTCTTGCAATATGAGAATTCTTTTTGCAATATATATACACGAATACTCTCCCTACCAAATTTTAACGCTCCCTAAGATTCAAACTCGAAAGCACTAATTAAGCTAAAATAACTCGCTAGTGATTGATTCATCTGCTTCGTGGTGAAAATGATGATGATATTCATATATAGTAAATGCATGTGACATACATGCATTAACAGCATCAATTATTTTTCTTGATTGAAATATGTTGATCAGAGTGATATATACCTTACACACAAAAGGCAAAGAGTGAGGTTCCAGCCGTAAAGTTCAAAGTAAACCCAACAGCAACATGGTAACCATTACCTACATAAATGCACCCATCACTTATAGACACACCACCATAGATGCTAGCTCCAGTTTCAAAAGACCATAGAATTTCACCAGATTTTGAATTTATTGCATATAAGGATCCTTCTCTATCAGTTGACCCAGCAAAAATGACACCATTAGCCACACTAACAGGGCCAAAAGCATTAGCATTACTTGGGTTCCCTGTGGACCACATGATGGTGCCATTCCTAGCATCCATTGCCACCCACCCACTTGATGTTGTTGTGCTTGATGAGCTTGCAGAAACAATAAAGTTTGTATACACCTTTTCTTCATCAGATGCTGCTCCCCAAGTTCCTCCTCCTAGAGATTCCTATATATACATATTCATATAGTTAAGAATATGCTTCTTAATTCATAAATTAAGACCTTTTTAATTAGGTGAAAATTAGTGAGTATACTTAATAGATTATTACCTTAGACCAAATGAGGCTTCCATTATCTTGATCTAAGGCCCAAGCAAAACCACTTTTTTGGACAGCAACAACAATATCTTGCTTGGTACCATTTACTTGTACACTAAGCATCATAGGTGCCTCTGAAAAATCAGCATCTGGGTTTGGACCTGGTGGACAATTAGGAGTTGAGAGGTTGTTGCATGCAACAAACCATACATCATAGCCTCCTAATTGATGGTACCATTTGATTTTTCCAGAATCCAAATCAAGGGCCATGATAGAATCTGAGTGGTTATCAGGCTCAACACACTCATCTGGATGAGTAGGTAATGTTTGATTGTTCTCCTTTTCTTGGCATTGACTTATGTTTAATGGGGTATTGTAGAGGTTCCCAGTAGCAATGTAAACATGGTTTCTATGAAAATCAATGGAGGGGCTGCTTCCCCATATAGCCCCTCCAGCATACTCTCCCTTTTTGCCTTGGTTATCTGGCAACATATAAGTCTGCCAAACAATGGCACCAGTTCTGCTGTTGAGTTTAACCATGCTGCCAATAAATGTACAACATTGTTCAATGTCTAACTCTTCTTCTAGTGATGATGTTCCAACATAGAAATTCCTGTTAAAAACTTTAGCTGATTAGATGGTCTGAAATTCAAGAAAGATTTGTAGTAAAACTCAATTTTTGTGCCAATGATTTATTGACTTAGCATGCCTAATTTGGAACACCTTATTTGTGCAAGAATTTTTGTTCTATTCATGAGTTGAACTTTGAATTTTGAACTAGATTTTTAAATTAAGAATAGTATAGTGTTTAAATTAGATTAAAAAAAACCACCACTACCCGTTAAACCCGACTAACGAGCGTGGAGTGGAAGAAATCCTTGTACGCAGTCTTACTTTTGCATAATTGCAAAGAGGCTGTTTCCTAGATTCAAACTCATGACCTTTCAGTCATGAAATAACAGTTTTACCATTACCCCGGTTCGCCCTCTTGTTTAAATTAGATAAGAAAAGTAAAAATTATCAATGATCTTGAAAGGATGATTAATTAAAAAATAAAACAAGAGAGTAGTAACTATATAGTAGCTAAGAATATTGGATAAATGCTTGTATAAGACAAGGTTAGGGTGGTGCACTGACCCTTTGAAGTAAGTTCCAGACATAGTGATAACACCTGCAGGATGATTGGACAAATGAGTCAACCAAACCAAATCACCACTTGTTCTTTTGACAGCAATAACCACAGCAGGTCCATAGATTCCAACAATTAATAAATCATCAGCTACTGTTGGTGTTGCTCTAGACAAAGTCCAATTTACGTTGTTAACAAAGCCAGTTTCATTAAGGCCTGTTAACTTGTGCAAGTTCTTCTCCCACAACAGAGATCCATCTGATGCTTTGACAGCATATACATAACCATTCCAGCTAGGGAAATAAAGGGTGTCATCAAATATTGCTGGTGTTGCTGAAATGTCATTGCCTGCATAGAATTTCCATTTCAAATGTAGCTTGGAAGCTGTTTCAGGACTGATCTTGCTCTCATTGTTGGCATATCTTCTGTTGAACAAATCTCCACCATGGTTTAGCCAGTTTTGTGGTTGTTGTGTTACATTCTGACATTTAAAACATGAGAGTGAGAAGAAACAATTAAACTCCATCTGTTTTGTTTAATGGAATTTTTCTTTTCTTTTTTTCTTTAATTTTCATTAATAATGTGTAGTAGTGCTATTTCTTATACAATTCTTTCAAAACAAAAACAAAGAAATCAAATCAAAGTGATATTTTTATATCAAAATGAGGTTATAATTATAATATCTTTTTCCTTATAATATTTAATAATCAATTTTTTATCGTTATACCAAAATTAAATTAACAGACATTTTGTAACTGTTAATTTAATTTTTATCTAACTATAATAAAGTGGTTGTAAGAAAAAAAAAATTGTAAGTATAACCAACTTTTTTTATAATTAATAAAAATAAAACAAACAAAATTTTCTCAAACCAAATCGGTCTAAAATTGTGTATGAAGAAAGAAATTAAGAAGAAACATACATCTGCGCCAACAAAGACTCTAATTGTGTATAGAGAAAATAAGATCAAATAAATAACTAAGTCTATGTTGTATTTGAGTGGCGCCATAGAAATGGAACTTGAGGTAGCTGCTCTTGCAAGATGCAACTAGCACTATATATATAATATATATATATATATATATATATATATATATATATATATATATATATATATATATACATACACAAGGGTAGAGCGAGGCTCCTTAAAAATTATAGCTATCCCTGTTTTCTTTCTTATGTCAGAATTCAAAGTCTTCAACTCTGTTTTTTTTATTTTTTTTATTTGACTAATTGGAAGTTTAGTTCGTTTTTCATCCTTGAAGAAAGATTTATAAAATCAGACTTCGTCAAAAATTCTAGATAGATTATGATGATTAAATCATTAACTAAGTTGGCGTACATTGATTGATTGCTATGTTTGTTCATTTCTGGCCCATCATTATTTGCTTTTCAACACAACAAGACTATAATAATGTATTGAATGCATTACAAATTTAAATTTGACTTCAAAAATGGCTGTGATTAAGGTCATATACATGGTTGAGTTGAATCAAATTGATCATATATTATTAAAGTCGAATGGAACTTAGGGAAGAAGGTAAACATAAATCTTAAACTCGAGTAGCTAACTCTGAAATAACAATTATCATAATTGTTGTGTGGAAAAGTAAACTAAATGACTATTGTTAATATTTTTGTCACTTTGTCATTGTAACCATGGTTTGTGTTTCAGCCTGCTCATACGGGCCTAGCAAGCTGGGCCGGTCGTCCAAGGCTCATCATTAGAGGCTGCAAAAGTTGAGGTCTTAACTAACAGTTTTTGGCTCATTATTTTTTCTCTCATGATTAAGGAATATTTTGTCCTCTATATAAATGCATTCTCTCCAACAGAGGAGACACCTGATTTCACATATATTTATGAGTTGTTACTCTGTCAAATTTTAGAGAATAGCATTACACATATTCCTCATTCACATCTGCGACTGCACTCACGATGACTCTCTTGGAACTTTGATCTCCATCACTGCTTGCTTAAGCATCCATACATTGATATATTATTGTTCCTAAGAGATACAGACCTAATTCTATTTCCGCAAACAATTGAGCTTGTAAGTGTGAAATTTAAATTTCCTTGAACAAAAGTTAAATCAATGTTCAAAGTTCTAAAATACCCGTTTAATGAATGTGCACATACTATGCTCAGAATAGGAGCATGTATATCCTTGCATTCCAATCACAGTTGCAACTAACGAAATTGTATAAACTACGAAAGTTAGAGAAAGCGAGTAATGTAATATTTATCCAATTATAAAAAGGATGAAGTTACGTGGGGCTTTTTAACCCTTCTGCCCCTCATTAATTAATTAATAACCAATTTGCCCCTTCCCCAGAACTATCCACCATCCTGCCCCCATTTAGTCGATCAAATTGCACTTTTAATCGACTAAATGGGCAAAATTCAGAAATCAAGAAACACGAATTTTAGTCGACTAAATATTTACCTTGATCGACTACATGTCGAGCACATTTTGGACTTGAGCTCATCTTTCACACGAATTTGGGGCCTTCATAATGCTTTCCATCATAGTAAATCATGGTAACATACATGTTTGGACTTGAGCTCATTTTTCACACGAATTTGGGGGTAGGAATCGGATTTTAGGGTTTTGGGTTCGGATTTGGGGGAAACAAATCAGAAAATAAGGAAAATGACAATGATTTCACAATTACTATACTTTAGAGATGGTGGGATGAAATGGAAGGGTGAATGGAAGGATCACAGCTGATAAACAAGAGAAAGAGGAGTTTTGATTTCGAAAATATTGCAAATGAGACCGAGAGAGGTCTGGATATAGGATTTTCTGCGATATTTAGTCGACTAAATAATGGCCTTAGTCGACTAATTGTGCTCGACATGTAGTCGATCAAGGTGAATACTTAGTCGACTAAAATTCGTGTTTCTTGATTTCTGAATTTTACCTATTTAGTCGATTAAAAGTGCAACTTGATCGACTAAAATTCGTGTTTCTTGATTTCTGAATTTTACCTATTTAGTCGATTAAAAGTGCAACTTGATCGACTAAATGGGGGCAGGATGATGTATAGTTCGGGAGAGGGGCAAATTGGTGATTAATTAATTAATGAGTAGTAAAAGGGTCAAAAAGCCAGTTATGTGGGCTGTGGCTAAGATTATCTTATATTGACAAAAAAAAAAACCATACCCGAAAATTGAAATGCCATAAGACGCATACATCACTTTTTAGATTTCAATATCTTTTGAAACAATATTCCAAAGGTCTCATAAGAAATTAGTTGAGGGATTTGAATAATTTATATAAATATTTATATATTCAAATTTTTTTATTTTTTTTATAAACATATATTCAAAATTTCTTACTATCATCAATACAACCAAAACTAAAATCAAATTATGATTCCATCAAGTTTGAAGGAAAACAAATCTGTAATCAAACTTGGCTATATAATTGATGAAAGAATTTAAAAAAAAAAAAAGAGTTTGTTTGTTTTTATTAAGTGAATATGTAGATATGCATTCACCTTAAATTTTAGTAGATTAAGATCACAATGCACTATAAATTAAATTATGATAAATATGCTTTACTTGCTTAATTTAGAGACATGATCACTTTAAAGAAGCTTTATTTCTGATAAATTATACATAGTTGTATAACTAAATAGGGTTATTCAAAAAGTACGAAAGCTGTATAACTCCAAATCTTAAAAAAAAAAATGTTTAAGTAATTTTCTAGGTTCACCAATGAGGTTTAAAAATCAGAGAAGTAACTGTAACTTTAGCAAAGAAATTTTTAGTAAAAGGTATATGCACTTATTATATGTTAACTGTTCACATCTTTTTCACGGAAAAATTTAATATGATTCGGGACTTTGGTTCCCTTCACTGAGAGTATGATACTTGGATTATATTTTATTTTATTTTTTTTCTTTTCTCTCATCTCAATCTCTCCTCTCTTTCTTTCTCATCAGTCTCACCAATTCAAAAGTGCTGGGGAAGCACTAAACACTAAACTCCTGCTCCTTCTTCAAAATGAAATGGATAAAAAGTTTGTGTAGATGCCACAGGGGGGTCCATAACAAGTACACCACTATACCACGGTCCAATATTTATTTGTCCACTCCACAACTCGAAATATTGTTAATTTCTTTTTTATTGTTTTTTTTGTAACCATAGATATATTTTAATGGAGTAATTTTATTTGAATTAGAAATATCTACATCATGATCGTCTCCAGCAACGGTATATTCAAGGGTTGAGAGTTTGCTCCTGGGACAAAGTGTGGGGTTAGAATGGGCCACCTAGAGTTAAAACTTTTCTTTGGTTACCGTTGGGGAATAACATTTTGACTTATGCTCAACGCTTGCGTCGTCACTTTTCTGATAATAGTTTGTGTTCTCGGTGTATCTATGGTCACGAGGATTGTATTCATGTGGTTAGAGATTGTTGGAAGGTTTGGGAAATATGGTGTCATCTGATTCCTCATCATAAGTGGCAATCCTTCTTTGCACAAGATCTGGGTGAGTGGCTACATTTTAATCTCTCAACTGATTATATGGAGCATGTGTCTAGGAATTGGTCAACTCTTTTTGGTATTATGTGGTGGTTAATTTGGAAAGCAAGAAATGAATGGATTTTTAAGCATTTGGAGACTGATCCTTCTAGCATTATTCGCTCAGCTTTTCTTTTGAGAGATAATTACTTCCAAGCTCAATTGCTGCTGAATCAAGGCGGTCTTCGGTTGCAATCACCTAGGATTCAAACTTTCATTAATTGGAAGTTTCCTTTGGAAGGGTGGATAAAGATTAATACAGATGGTTCTTGTGCTCAAGGTGGACTACATTCTGGATGTGGAGGGGTTATAAGAGATTGTAGAGGTGATTGGTTAGTTGGTTTCTCAAAGAATTTGGGGCATAGTTCATCGGTTGCTGCTGAGATTTGGGGTTCTTATTTGGGTCTTCAAATAGCTTGGGAATGTGGTTTTAGAAAGGTGTGGCTTGAAGGTGACTCTACAGTTGCAATTAATTTATTTTCCAATCAAAATACTGAGATGCATCCTTTACATGAACTGATTTTACGTATCAAGGAATTATTGGGGAGAAGCTGGCAGGTTTATGTCTCTCATACTTATAGAGAAGCGAATGGTGTAGCTGATTGGTTAGCTACGCATGTTTTTTCTGCAAACTGGGATATTCAATTTTTTAACACTCTTCCTGTAGGTTGCAAAGATAGATTTCTTCAAGATTATAGGGGAGTAGCTTTCCCTCACTTTGTTTTAGCCTAGCTTATTTTCTCTATGTATTACCAAAAATATCTACATCATGGTGGGACTAGTTCTCCCAAAAAAAATATTTTACATTCACAAGATTTTAAACTCAAACTTTACTTAAAAACGAAATCAAACATATCACTTCAACCGATCTGTTTAATATTAATTACATTCTCTAGTTCAAGGGTGCAAGTGATCTATGGCTTGACCTTCGTGCTCGGTTGAATGACAAAAAAGCACCTTGCATTTTCAAACTTCGTTGTGCAATTTCAAACCT